TGGCAGGTAGCAATTTAGACGACTGGTCAGATCTCCAGGCGTGCTTTTTTCACACCGCTGTGAAACCTGGGAACCGGGAGTCGTGACTCCGCACGCCCAGGGGCTTTACAGAAGCTTTTAAAGTCTGACACCTCGAACGTGGTGGCTGCATGATTTGCATACATCTTAACAACTAGGAGGACTAGACTGGCGGCCCACCACCTACCTGATATGAAGGCCTCTCAGTTGGTACGAGTCCGTGTATTATGGCAAAGCACATGAGGGCTGGCCTAAGGATGAATTTATGAAGAACTCTCAGCGGAAAACTGGCTCGTATACACGTTACACATAAGGAAGACCACGAAAACGTTGATGCAGTCAGTCCGTTGGTCAGGATTCGATCTCAGATCGAATTACCAGTGTTCAGCGATTTTCTCGCATGGCATTGATGGGATGTTTTAAAAAAAGTATTAAAGGTTTTAGAGATGCTGCTAGCGGACTCCACAGAAAGACAATAAACAGAAAAAGATATTGAAGAAGAGATCGGATTATTTGTACGAGGCAGAATGTAAAAGCATGACTTCTAGTTTAGTTTATTACATTATAGCAAAGTACATGAAAGCTATCTGCCTAAGGGGGAGAATGCCTTCATGAGTGATTTTCTAAAGCAAACTGGTGCGTATCCACGTTAAAATTAAGGCACACTGCGAAAATGTCAATGTAGCCAGCTCGTTGGCCAGGATTCGAACTTCGGTCGAACTACCGGTCTTCAGCAACCTTATTGCCCGCCATTGATGAGATGCATTAAAAAAGGAAAAGGGTTCAAATTTTTACAAATGCTTCCCAGAAAGAAAATAAGCAGAAAATTGCGACATGTGGTTTAATTATTTCATGGAGTTCAAACTGATTTATAAAAAGGAAATACGAACAGCTACTGTATCGTAGCTACTGAATAATATTTTAAATAACTCCATTTATAAGCCAGCACACTTTCCTTTATTGCAAGTGTTTTAGATAAAGTACATTACTAATGTTATCTTCTCTGATATAAACGATTATAATTAATGATATTTTCTCTAAGACATCCATTTCCACAGAAGACTAAAACATCAAATCATCTAGAATCGCCTGTAGTCCTCTTAGAAAGACTTCACACTAACTGAGTGTTGAAACTTTACATTTAAAGCAAGCTTCAAGAAAAAGGAAATACAATTTTTCATGTTAAAAATTTAATTTTTACCAAAGATTTGATCTTGAATTCTTCAAGTGAGAAAATCAAATAAAATATCGAATGCTACTAATCCATTTATAAAACGTATATAAGAACAAGGTCAGAAATAGTTGTTGTGGAATTTAAAGACCCCTGCTTAGAACAGAAATAACTATGGCATTTACATTCTTCTTATTATATTCAACAACACTTCTTGCGATGTTGTATCCATTAAAATGGACGTGTGTCTAAAATTTCTGAACTAACTACAAATAATTTTAAACTCAATCTTAAGTTCAGAGAAAGTTTTATTATTTTGGAGATACAGAGGCCGCGTTGTGATTTTCTGACTTTTGTATTTATTCATCAAATGAATTACGTCTATTTTTACTTCCTCGTACGAACTAAAGGAAGCATTGTAATCGCAAAAAATTTCGGTTATAAGATTTCAATGGAAATATCCATTTTGATCGTTCCCCAAACCATTTTTTTTTGTTACGTTTGTATACAAGGACAAAATGAAAGCCATATTCCAAAACAGCTTCTAAAATGGTTTCAGTTGGATCTTTTCGTGACGGCGGTACGTGTGTACGTACGTATGTATCTCGCATAACTCAAAAAGCATTAGCTTGAGAACGTTGAAATTTTGTATATGGGGCTGCTAGAATATCTAGTTGTGAACCTTCATTTATTGGTTGCATTTGGCTGCACTAAACGAATATAAATATCTATATGCATATATTCCCATTCTGTTACCACGTACGTATGTATGTAAACTATTAGACGTAGAACGTTGAACTTTATATGCACTAAATCTACGACATTTAATTGTGCACCTCGCTAAAATACTAGGCCTGTTTATATTTTTTAAAAATTGTTTTGTAGTTATATAGTCATTAACTAGAGTTCTCTTTATTTAAGGTATAAGATTCTAATTAGAATTTACTACGTGTTTTCCTTGCTTTGGGGAGAGGCCAAATTTTCAGCTTAACTATTATAATTAAAATACATTGAAATGGTTCATCGGCTAATTCTGGACTCATGATTTTTGTGAACGTGAAATTTCAATTCATTTTAGTGTTCCTCCTCCTGAAGAAGTGGCATTAAAATTGATTGAAGTCCTCTTCTATTATGTTCCTTCTTCTTTAAATTTCCTTAATTTTTTTATATGGAGTATTGCTTGTTCGAAAAACTTTGGTTTTAAAATTTTTTTAAATTCTTTATTGCATTTACAGGATTATTTGAAATTTATTAATTATGAATTTAAATTTTTGGTCTTTTGTGAAAAATTAGTTCTAAATTTATTATTTATGTCTTTACTGATGATTTTTCAGCAGCTTAATGAGCGAAAATACTAGGCACGTTTATAATTTGTTTTTAAAAGAATGGTTTTGTACTTATGAAATATATATACTCCTTTCGCCTGCTTCTAAGTTTTTGCCCGGGTTTCATTTTCATAGTCTTTGGTCGTACACATTACTTGCAGTTACAGAGAAGTACTTTAAATGTTGAAATTACTCACGTTTTGGGAATGTCAGATTAAGGAAAAAGCTAATTTTGAACAAATAACGCAATCTAACTTTTAATGCAGTCTTTACTTGCATTTGAGAATGATTTATACTCTTTATGAAGAAATAAGAACGAAAGAAGTGTGATTCCCGTACAACAAAAAAATGTCAGAGATACTTAAGTTCAAAATTTGCAATTTTGATGTCATTTTCAACATTTCTTGAGGGATCGGCTAATTACGAAATTTACAATGTCTTAAGGAAATAAGTTTAAATGAAGCGCAGAAAAATATGTATAATTTAATAGGCTATAATAAAGGAAACCATGCGAGGTGGCCACATCAGATTTTTCTTTTATGCGGTGGTAACTATTTACATTGCCATTCGCTAGATTTCCTTTTGAGTATAAAATCCATAGAAAAGCCAATATTCGTCTTGTTATTAATACACAGAAATTTATTTACATATAATGAGATGGAAGCAAACATAATTATTAAGATGAGCTTTCGGTACTTAAGGACGAATATCAATAGATCGCAGTGTGGTGGTTGTTCTATACAACACCCAGACCATCATTCTTCATGCAGATTTTAAGCTATTGAATAACTCCCGAGAGTGGACGCTCAGGAGTGCCACCTAGCGAAGGGCGCTGCCAATTCATAGCGTATGCGAAGGGAAATAATTTAATAACAGGATATATGTGAATTTAAATTTATTAAATTCATTGTAAAAATATTCCTGACGATTCCATTACAATGCGAAACATTTTGTTAGCATTTCTTTTTTATGTTTTCTTGAAATGTTATACTCTGTCAACATATTGTTAAATATTGTCATTAGAAACAGTGCTTAGCTGTTTGTTCGTTCATATGGTAGTGTCCTGTACAGAAGTATTTTCGCTTTACGAATGCTTAAATTCCTCTAAAACCCTTCAGAAGCCTAAATGGCGTAAAGCCAAGATGGAATGAGATAAAAAAAATCCTTTAGCATTTTACTGTCTTTGTATTAATAAGATCACTATGGCTACAATTTTAATGCCTACCGATAGGCAGTCTTGCAAAAACTGTCTTAAATCTATAGTATGCCATTCTCAAAATTAGTTACACATTTCCGCTTCACTGAAAGGTAATAAAAGTTGAAACAGAGTTTTTTCCGTTGGGCTGAAAAAAAAATATTTTATTGTCATACGTTAAAGAGAAATTTCGCGAAAAGAACTTTCGTAGTACAGTCTACACTTGTACTTACAAAATGGATAATAAATCGTACAATAAAACGAAATATTTTGTTTTCGATAAATCGCATTTAAACGTCAGACTTAAATTTAAGTAAATTAGCAAATAGACTCTCCGTTGTCATACATTTTTATATTTGTTTTTAGTTTGCAGTTTTTAAGATAAATGATTTGCCTTGATCGGTATAGTATTTGGCACTTCTGGTTATCCTATCACTGGGCCGGGGTTGAATCGTACGGAAGGCTTGGCTATTTATAAGAGTATATAGTATTTGTATGGCACGAGGGAATTAAAACAATGATGAGCCGAAAGTCCTCTCAAGTGGTTAAATGACACGAGAAGATTTTTAAGTTTCGCAGATTTTAAGATATTATTTCCAAATTTCTTACAGTGTGCTTTCAGAAAAAATTTTAAAACATTACACTTGATCGTGACTTAGAGGAGTAAAAGGTTTAGCGATGGTAACCCGTGGAGAAATTCGAACTAGCCTTTTAAAAAAATATTAGCACTTGCTGTACAAATCTTACTTAAAATTAATTACATTTCTAAAATTTGTTATTTTACATGATTGATAAATCCAGATGAATTCAACATGCTATTCTGCAACATCAAGATAGTATTGTTACGTTTTTCTTATGTACAGGTTCGTCGATTTGGAGAGAATAACGGCGACACTTGACGAAGTATCGAAACGCAATTTATTAGCCAGTATTACTCAGGACAGCTGCAAAATCATGTTTAGAATCCTCGCAGAACTACTGTAAGCATTCTGAAACAATCAGCAACGCAGCCTTCAGACTGTTAGGCTGTAACTGTGGAGACAGCTTTACGGCAAAGCACCAGAGCACAGCTCCCGACTCTGCTGGGTCGTTCTCGAAACTCTACGTACTCTCGAGACTCTCCACGCTACAACTCGCGATGCACTCGACGATACACTAGAGTACAGCTCCCGACTTGGTTTGGTCGTTCTTGAAGCTCAACCCACTCTAAGATAAAACTCGATGATGCACTCACAAACTCGCGATGCACTAAGAGACTTGTGCAGAATGCTATAAAATCACATGCACCTACCGTTTCCGTCGGTTTTAACTGATATTGTTTCGCTTCCGTTTCCATGACCAGCACTATTGAATGCTTTGATATAACAGAAATACTTAGTGCCACACTGTAGATCGTGAAAGATGTATTCATTGTGTTCGCCTCTCAGTCGTATTTCTTGCCAGTTATTGCCATCCATTCTGTGGTAGAGATCATATCCTGTAAAAAAAAAGGTATTCATATAGGAATTGAATTTGGCATCAAATACTTATGCACACAAAAAATTAGGGCCTACTTTATTTAAGGAAACTGAAATCAAATAAAGAATGATTACTCAGATTGGTGTAGTGGTTGGCGCTGCTGCTTACCATATCATTGGTGCCGAGGAAGAATCCTACAGAACGTATATATATTTATAAGTGTACATTGCATGGCATGACGAGGCGAAAGTCCTGTAATATAGTTGAATGATAAGAGACCCTTGCATCCGTCACCTAAAGTATGTATTCTTCGTCAAAATTGACTCGATAAATACTGAATCGTTCTGTGAAAAACTAGTTCTTTTTTTTTTTTTTTTTTTTTTTTTTTTTTACGTTGACTTGTTCCCGAGAACTATTGTTTTCGTTTTGCGACTTTGCGTCGAATCACTCTGAATGTCCGTTTCACTTTTCAAACTCTTGCCACCAAATATTATCGCGCTGTATTATATTTGAAGAAATTAAATAATGAAGTATCTGCATAAATGTATGTATGTTTCTCGCATTGTGATAAAACAACGGTACATAGAGCCATCGAATTTTGAATGACGTACGTTTCTACTGCAAATATGGGCATCTGGAAGCCCAATGGAATCTGGAATTTGTTTTAATTTCCATTTCATATTTATCAAACATTAAATAATTTTAATCAACAAACGAAATGATTTCAATGCGAGCAATGGGAAAACTGTAAGAAAAAAAAGCATTTTTACCTCCATCGCGCTGTGTTTTGAAAATTTTAAAGATATGCTCATTTTAAAATTATTCTGCGATATTGCCATTGAATTGAATTTTATTTAATAAATAAAGGTAACAACAAAATGTTAAATAAAGGTCCCCTTGGCGTAATGTAAAATCTGAAAGTTTTCATATTATTTTTTTAAAATTGTATTTTATTCTATCCAAATTTTAATGCGCGAAATATTCGTGCATTGTGTCTCCCGATGATTGGACGCTTATGAGTCGATCATATACATTCGTAAATTTTAACAACCTTTTGAAATATTACATTTAAATTAGACGACAGGATAAGAGAGGGTTATAAAAAACAACAATCAACAATCGTAATATCAAAAATTCATTTCATAGTTTATTTTATAGATTTACTGAACACTATTCTACGTATTTGCTTCATCCCAAATATCCTAAACTAACTTCCTTGAATTGTGTAGAATCTGCGGACTTCAGTGACGAAATTGAAGCTACGCACAAACGATTAATTGGGAAATTAAATACTTGAACTATTACGATCCAATGAGTTTTAAACGGTTGTGTAAGTTCGGATGGAATTTCACAGTAGTTTAAGATATAGCAAGCCCACCGAAATTGACTGAGGTGAAACCTCATTGCGATAATGATGAAATTATAGCTTTTGAAAGGTTTAAACAATACAGTTTCGAAGTAATGGGAATTTTATTCACCTTAATGAAATGTTTATATGCATTAGGTTTATGATCCATAACGAAATCTCTTATGTATATTTTAAAAAGAAAAGAATTAAATCAAGTAAAATAATTAATTTTCATCGTACTCATATGGAGGTCTTAAAAATTTCATCTTTGCAAAACACAGGAGACACATTGAATGAAAGATCCGTAAGATGAAATATCAAAAGAAGCTGTTATATTAATAAACATGCCGGTAAAGAGATAGTTGATAAATTAAATATTAGCTTTTGAATTAAAAGCAAACAAAAATACGAGAACTGTAACCGAACTATATAAAATTTATAGCAGTTAGAAAGAAGAAACCAAAGGAGAAGGTTAATTGCATCAATAGGATATACATTCAATGATGATTACGTCACAGCGAGACATCAATAATGATTAACATAATTTGTCGAATAAACAGAAGTACCAATTTTTTATAAAAAAATAACTTTTTAGTTTCTTTCTTTAATGCAATTTTATCTCTTCGGGTTATTTAATATTTATTTAATCATATGATATTTTCTGAAAGTATTCATGCTTTTTCTGTAAACTGATCTTTGTATAGAACTGATATAATAAAATTCATAAATTTGATCACTTGGTTTGTTTGGTTTGATAGAGTATGGCAAAACACACTAGGCCTATTTGTCTAAGGGACAGATGACTTCGTGGGGAACTTTCGAAGGGAATCTATCTCGTATAAAGCGTTACACATAGAGAAAACTACAAAAACGTTCATGCAGCTATCCCATTCGCGGGATTCGAACCTCGTACCGTACTACCAGTGTTCAGTGACTTTACCGCTCGGCCGCTGGCGGACAATTCGGTCACTAAGGTTATATGAGTGCCGCCCAGACGTGGAAGTGTTTACAAACTCTGACTGCCAAGGGTCCGGGTTCGAATCTTGGACGGTTCTGGAAGGCTTGGATGTAATTTATCTGTAATAGGAGGCAATTATCTGTAATTGTCTGTAATAGGTAATTATCTGTAATAAGTAATTATCTGTAATCTGTAATAGATAATTATCTGTAATCTGTAATAGGTAATTATCTGTAATAGGAGACAACTTATCTGTAATAGAAGGCAATATGTTAATTTATCTCTAATAGGAGGCAGCGGTGGCCTACTTATAGAGTGCTTCCATAATAAAGAGGCCACCGCTTTTTGCCTTAGAAGGGGCCTACACGTATAAGCGGCTAGAACTCGCCATTAGAAAAAAAAAAAAAAAATACATGAGTTTTACATACTGTACGTTGCTCAGTGACAATAAATGAGATTTTATTGCTAATTATCTTATAATTTACTGGAATATAGCTTTGATTATGTGGGGTGAAATCACAAACAATAATGCAATATTCGACAACATTCTAGCGAAATGAAAATCCTTCAAACACAGATATATTTCAGTTTTGTTTAAAATGTACGCTTATATAAGTGTATATCAGTAGTTTATCTTCGTATATTTCGTAATTTTCTGCAAAAGTGACCTCTTTTTTTGTACGCATTTTGAAGTTACATTCTATATTTGTGTCTTTAAAATATTTCGATGTTCGCATAAATTGAAAGCAATATATTCTAATAACCATTAATATGAAAATATAATTTTTTATAACTCACGAGGGATATGCAATTGTTCTTTGCAGGTATCCTTGGAGAATTTCATCAGTCACCTGTATTTTCTGAATTCTTAAACAAATAACGACAAAGGAATATGAATTGTATCTCAAATGGATTTATTATTCTAGATTGTATATCAATCTGAAATAAAAATAAAAAAGTGATAAAAAAATCTGAAAGTTTTCAGATTTTATACTACGTCCAAAGAGAAATTTTTTTAACGTTGTGTTTCCTTTATTTATTAAATATCATGTTCTTGGCACTTAAACCATAAAATTCAATCCAACAGCAATATTGCAAAATAATTTAAAGAGATCATATCTTTAGAATTTCCGATAACAGTCTCACGAGTTGGAGATAATTTTTTTTTTCCGTGCAGTGTTGCCTTTGCTCGTTTTGAAATTGTTGCATTTCTTAATCAAAAGCTCGCAAATGCTTTACAAAATATGAAATATATAATAAAACAAATTCCAAACTTGGGCTTCAAAATGCCCGTATTCGGGTTGCGACGTACGTTCTTCAAATTGTTTTGGCTGTAGGTACCATTGTTTTATCACAGTGCGAGAATCATACATACATTCATACAGATTCTTCATTATTTAATTTCTGTAAATATAATACAGGGCTATAATGTTTGGTGGCAAAAATTTGAAAAGTGGTTCAGATTTTTAAAGTTTTCGACGCAAAATTAATAGCCCTTCTGGGCTAACGCCCTTTGGATTAATAATTACACACTTTGTTTCTAGCTGACGTTGAGGACTGATCTGTTTTAGAGGACTTAAATATTCCTTTGAAAACAAAACTAAGATGCATATTGAATGGAAATTAAAAGCAATATTATAAAACATCCCTTTCGTTCAACTACCTTCTCTCCTCAACAATTCTCTCCATCATCTACTTTCATTTCTATCAAAAGCTTCATAAATATAAACGACTCGACAAATTTTCCGTAAAGTTACTTATCGTAAGACAAAAGCTTTTAGAGTAGGTACTTTATCTTAATAAGCAGACTAACCTACAAGGAAAATGGGGTATTCGAAATTATACAGATATTTTCCTGAGAACTATATGTTTAGTAAATTGAAAATTAAGTGTTTGTTATTGATTTTGTTACTTTTATTATCTTAAATATTTCTCACATAGATTTGAGTGATATAGTGCATTATTTAGGTTCTCATTCTACCTATCTTGCTTTCCAGTAGACTTGGTGAGCATTTCAATTGCTGATATGTTCAATTTATTTTAAACCTACCTATTGAAATCTGCGCCTGTAGTTACTTCCATCATTCAGTTATATCAGTTGTATATATTAATATTTTAATTTCAGTATTTACTTTATATAACATCTCTGTTGCCGAGAAAGTTGCATCACTGTACTTGCTATCACTTCTAACACAACACAGAGATTCAATTAAGTATATTTTAGACATATCTACCAGGACCGATTATAGAATACCACGACAGTTGCAGATTTTATATGATTACTTGCGGGCAACCCGCCAGATGAACGAGTAGCGGTCAAAGCAAAATTTATAGGTTTTAAGTACACCGGAAAAGAAAATGTATAGAAACATTTTAACATAAAAATAAATCAGTTCATTCTTTCCAAGCAACAACAAATTCGTAGATTTCTTTTGTTGCCAAACCAGGAAAAAAAAAAAACTTTTGACATTTCTGGTTAATACGTATGATGTCATGATTTAAATTTACTGTAATATAACAACAGTTTCTCAATACGAATAAAACGATTAGCGTGACAATAACGTATCGTATCAGTTATTCTAACCTGAAGCAACGAAATTGCGAACAGCAGCTATTTATTTAAAATGTTTCCAAAACGTTTCGAAATGCAATGACGTCACAGGAAATCGCTTGCGTGTTTCACCGTTAGAATATGACCTTATATAGTAATAATAAATTTAATGTTTGGCAATGCTATTTTTATTTCATATTTTGTAAAACTTATAAACTTTTTATGAGCGAACTCTACGAATTGAAATCGAGCAGTGGCAACACTTCTCGAAATGAAACAGTTTTTTATCTCCAGCTCCAGCCTATTTCCACTCGAAAAATGAGGGCGAAAATTAGCGTTTTCAGAGTTTTTAATTAATATATCAGCTAATTAAAGTTGCACGAAGAAAGAAGTAGTCCAGAAAATTTCCCACAAAATTTTCGAATCCCGAGGGGTATTTCTCCAGAAACTCAACTTTCCGCCGTTCTGGAGGAGATAATGCTACAAGCAAAAAAACAACCAAAAAAAAAAAAAAAAAGAAAACGAGCAGACGCGCATAGATTTTAATAGTATAGGTTCTGTAAAAGCTACAGCACTGAAATATATTGCTTAAAATTTAATAATTTACAGTAGATGTAAAAAAGAGAAAACAAAATACCTGAAACTGGTGCGTCAGGAGTGATACTGATTTCCCAGGATAATTTTATAGTTTTGGATGTCGTGTAGTAGGACTTGATAATTGGAGTGCTTGGCGTATCTGAAAAAAAAAAAAAAAAAAGAAAAGAAAAAAAAAAGAAATTCAGGGTAATTTCCTATATACTCGTAGTTCACTGAAAGATTAAATGCAAAGTGATCATGAATAACTGATCAGTGATAAATAGTAAGTGATCTAAATAATGTATCCAATAGTTACTAGAGTGTATAGTATACAAACCGTATTTTACGCTGCGAAAAAAAAAAGACAGTTCTGTATCTCCCGTTCTACTGGGTCAATTGACCAAATTCAAACTACAGTTTTTATATCTCGAAAGCGCGGCTTAGGATATACCACTCTTCTAGCATAAGTATTTTGACACAAATTCGGACCTTTTTCTGAAATAGCATACCGTTTTTTTTTTTCCATATTTCGATTCTAGGACTCAAATTAAGCCTAGATATTAAATTGATCTTAGCGCAATTTTTTCAGTTATCTCCAAGAATAAATCATTTGGCGAACTGCTTAATATATGGACACCAAACTTCCTTTCCCTTCCATTATGCCGGAGCGGGAAAAAAAGGCACTCGTTCCTACCTTTTTACATTGTACATCGAGCGAAAAAAAATCACATCGTTCCTACTTCTAAATAATTTTAGCAAAGTGTCTAAACCACATTTGATGTTTTATCGCTTTCAACAAATATGCCAAATTTCAAAACGCGCCAGTATATAAATTCACGTATATCTTCGGAAATTTTGAACTAAAATCTGTAATGTTTTGCACCTCGTCGCACAGAGGCGTGAATAAAGTAATGAAAGTTCATTAACTAATTGATATAAACATCTTTATCTTTGAATTCAATAATTTGCGAGTAAAAGTCGCGAAGGCTGACTCTGAGGTAGCAAACAAGGAGCAGCGCTGATTGGTCGAGCCGAATTTGCAGTAAAGCAAAGAAATAAGCTTAATTTGTAGCTAAAGTCTTGAATAATAATAAAATAATTGTAGATTCCACAAAAATAAAGTCTCTAGTATCGTGGGAAAATACTAAAAATTCATAAAGTTGCAGTTGAAATTAAATAAAAGTAAAAAGCTTGAACTTAGGGGCGTTTTATCGCCATCGCTAATGTTGTAGCGTAGAGCAAGTCATGTGATATGTTGAAGTCAAATACAATAGTTGACGAAAACCTTAAGGAAAATATTGGTTAAATAAGGCTATATACATAATTACAAAGCGCTACCTAAGTTCGATGGCTATATGCAATGAAAACTTAGTAAAAGTTTCTTTTGGAATTTAGTTTTGGAATTTAGTTGTGTAGCGAATTTAGTTTAATTAAGTGAATCATAAAAATCAAAATTTTAATTTGTAAATATTCAAAATTTTAGCTACACAACAAGTTTGGATATATTCCTTATTTGGCTTATTAATTCTAGTGTAATCTATTTCGGGTATTCGAGTTTACGCAAACGGCGTCTTCAATCTTGTACACTCAGACAATGAATATAGGTGAATTTTCATGTAATAAACTCAGTTTTTCATGATAAAAATTAAGTCGATTTCTTAGTATTTAATATCATTAGTTGCAGAAAAATTAGCTCTTTAATTTGACATAACTTTCGTTTTCCTAACTTTAACTGCATTTTAGTTATGAGCTTTAATTATTAGTTTTTTTTCCGTTGTCATAGTGATTTCTACTTTGAGGGAAGAAGTGCCATCTTTCCGGTAAAATAGTCGTTTTTTCGAGTTTTCAGCGTTCCTTCGTTGGGACTGCTTACAGGGTTGTTGAAATTTCAAGTTTTCCCCTTCGCGAGGCGTGGTTGATTGGCGACGGCTTGGCGACTTAAAATTTCCTTTAGGGTTTCAAAGTGGTGGCTTGGGCGAGTTTGTTAACATGAAGGAATGCTGAAGTTGCAACTGGTTTAATTTTTGGAGAGGAGTGAGTTGTGCCAATTTGGTATTCCGGCGCATCCCCTTTTAAAGGGCTGTTTTGTGGGACGAGGACACTTTTTTTGGACTTTTCACTTGCCGCTGGAAGTTGTGCTAGCCGATAGCTGATTTTTTGTTTTTGGAATCATGTTCGAGAGAATGAAAATTTTGGAAGGGACATCGTTAGGCCGTTGCTTCTCCAGTAGCCGACTGGGGTAACCGTCGTGAAGAAACTACTAATGCACCGTAACCAGAGAGTAGCGTAGATCCACATTTAGTGCCACTTATTTCTTGCTCCTCGGAGTTCTAGGAACTTTTCATCCTTTACCTTGCATACGGATTGAATTTCATCTTAACCCAATTCCGAGTCGAATTTAACAAAAATATTATGGTTTCCTGCTTTCACCGTTGCTTTGCTTACCAGTTTGGACATTCATCTTGCATGGTGAACTGCCGTTTTCAAGATCTATCACCTGCTTCTTAGTAACAGATGATTGCGCCCTCTTCAGGAAAGCGACGTCCATTTGTTCGGGATGGTTGTCCTAGCTGTCCGTCTGGATGTAAAAGCTAAGTTATTTTTTGTTTGCTTTAACTATCTGAGGAAATAGATTTTTGCAGTTAAAAGGATGGAAATGATTTAATTTGTTGAACCTTCAATTTTTTTTTTTTTTTTTTTTTTTTTTTGTAGTTGATAAATTTAACCTAACTCTATAGAAATCAATTTTTTTTGTGTGTGTCGATTAAGTAAAAGTATTAGATTGACTAAGGATTCATAACTTTTTTTAAATTATTGTAACTTAACTTAAATGTAAAGAAAAACAAGTTCTTCATGAATTTATTTAATTGAACTTTAGGATTTCCTTCATGGTGAGGATTGATTTGTAATAGTGTCTCTATATGAGCATCTTTGCTCCTCTCAGGGGTGTTAACTTGTTTGTAGAATTGTAATAGTGTAGCAACTTAACTTTTATCCGGTTAAACTGTACTTAAAATAAAAAAAAAAAGAAAAAAGAAAAAATATAAAATTATTATGTGCAATAACAGTATTCTAATTGATGTTATTGAGTGCAATAGTATGCATTTTTTTTGTATTGATTATTCTGTGTGAAGTGGAAAGTGTAACTTGTTAATTTTTTTTTTTTTTTTTTATTTTTCTCCCCGGGGTGGATACTGTTCATTTAATTCATAGTTTATTTACATGATTGTAGAAGTAACTATAATAGAGATTCTAAAGACTAAGGTTAAAGAAATATTACTCAGTAAGAGTAAGGATTGTAAAACAATAGTACAGAATTGTTGAATGACGCAATTGAAAACTATTGATACTACTATTTTCCTGTTGTAAGAGTATTTTAGTGTTATGATCAACTAGTAGGTTACCTTATTGGTACTTTCAAAAACGACATAACAAATGCGAACAGCACCCGTTTAAAATTCCAAATTGATGTTGGAGAAATAATCAAGAGCGGTTATACCGACTTCTAGCTTATCCATAATGGTTTTCGTTTGCTTGAATTTCATAAGGAATTCTTTAGCTGTCTTAACGTGAATTTTCAACCATTCTAGGAACGGTTGTTCTTTTGCGTCCAGTTAGGAGTTATCTTATTATCAGAGTTACTGTTATTTAGGGCTGCAAAATATTTCTGATTTAATTTAATGTTGTGTCAAATACGAGGATTATTTTGCTGTTTTTTTTTTTTTTTTTTCTTAGCGATTTCTATGGCCTTTTTAAATATTATTGGCGTGTTTTTGTGCAACCTGTATACGCTGAAACATTGCATATCACCACACAGGGCGCACACGGCTGGTTTTCCGTCTTCGTTTTTCTGTTTATAGGTGTAAGTTTCATGAAATTGTCCGCACTTAAGGCATCGCGGTTTATAATGGCAAAGTTCCTGTGAGTGCCCGTACCGTTGGCACTTATGGCACGGCACAGGTCTCTTTAAGCCTTGTAAGTAGTGTAAAGACATTTAATCCACAGATAGTCTTTAAATCATAAATTTTCTTTCTCTAGCGGAACGTTTAAAGTCCACCACAAATAGAGGAATGTTAATTGTATTTCCTTCTCTTAAGGAAGTATGTTGAAATACTTTAATTGCTGTGATTTTCTCATCTTGTAATTCTTTGAGAATGAGCTCTGGGTTTGTATTTTTCGGAAATTTCGTTATAACTGCTTTCATGGATTTATTGGAATTAAGCTTCTAGCTATGAAATTGCCTGCCTATCGAAGATATGTATTTGGTGATGTAACGGTAATATTCGCTGTAATAAACACGAATCGCGAGAGAGCCTCTTTTGATTTCTCCACGGTATTTGGAAATATTGTGTTTCACTAATTCTAATTTAAGGACTTCCCAATCGCCAGTAAAGTCATCCATCACAAGGAATGGAATATTAGTTTTTCGTTTATCGGGAATAATTTCCAGATTTTCTCCTTCCATAAGATCACCTTGATCTAAATTCTTATATTTATTAGATTGTTCTAAATCTTTTTAGGGATGTATTTGCCAGAGGTCTTTTGACAGAGTTTCTCGGCGAGGTAAAAACCTTCGCTATCCGTGACGGTGCGTTTTTTGCTGTTTCTGCTAGCTTTAGCTGCGGAAGACTTGCTTTTCTTCTTTTTAGTAGAATTTTCAACGTTAGTGCTTTCATTAGTCTTATTATTACTTGAAGACTCTTTAGGTTTTTTTAACTCCTTAAGGAGAATTTCTAAGGTGTCGATTTCGGTTTGAATTTCCATTGCGCGTTTTTTGTTCTGTTTTTTAATATCTACGTCTTTAGAAGAGTAAGAATCATAGTAATGCTTCTCTAAACGAAGACTTTTAATTCTGTCTGAGACAGACTCAATTGTCGGAAATTGATTTCCATGAAAAAGCTCCTTTTCTTCCATGGCAATTATAACTCAGAATGAAGCTTGTCAGTATCAGAAAATATAACCTTGTCAGTATAAGAAAACTCAATCCTCTGCATCATCAAAATAGTAAATCTTTAGAACGAACCACGCAGTTCAAGCGAAGAAATCGCTAAGCCTAGGCTTAGCTACACGCAACACGAAGAATCTATTTTTAACAGTTTCACTTATAATAAAAAATTTATACGTAACGTATATTACGTAAATTTCAATTAACATATGACA